CCACGTCCACGACCACGTCCACGTCGACGTCCACGTCCACGTCCACGACCACGTCCACGTCCATGTCCACGTTCACGTCCACGTCCACGACCACGTCCACGTCCACGACCATGTCCACGTCCACGTCCACGTCCACGACCACGACCACGTCCATGTCAACGTCCACGTCCACGTCCACGTCCACGTCCACGACCACGTCCACGTCCACGTCCACGACCACGTCCACGTCCACGTCCACGTCCACGACCACGTCCACGTCCACGTCCACGACCACGTCCACGTCCACGTCCACGTCCACGTCCACGTCCACGACCACGTCCAGGACCACGTCCACGTCCACGTCCACGACCACGTCCACGTCCACGTCTACGACCACGTCCACGTCCACGTCCACGACCACGTCCACGTTTACGTCCACGTCCACGTCCACGTCCACGACCACGTCCACGACCACGTCCACGTCCACGTCCACGTCCACGTCCACGTCCACGTCCACGTCCACGACCACGTCCACGTCCACGTCCGCGTCCACGTCCACGACCACGACCACGACCACGTCCACGACCACGTTCACGTCCACGTCCACGTCCACGTCCACGACCACGTCCACGTCCACGTCCACGACCACGTCCACGACCACGTCCACATCCACGTTTACGTCCACGTCCACGACCACGTCCACGTTTACGTCCACGACCACGTCCACGTCCACGACCACGTCCACGACCACGTCCACGACCACGTCCACGTCGACGTCCAAGTCCTCCACGTCCACGTCCACGTCCATGTCCACGTCCACGTCCACGTCCACGTCCACGTCCACGTCCACGTCCACGTCCATGTTAACGTTCATGTCCACGTTTACGTCCACGTCCACGACCACATCCACGTCCACCTTTACGTCCACGACCACGTCCACGTCCACGACCACGTCCACGACCACGTCCACGACCACGACCACGTCCACAACCACGTCCATGTCTACGTCCATGTCTACGACCACATCCACGTCCACGTCCACGTCCACGTCCACGACCACGTCCACGTCCACGTCCACCACCACGTCCACGTCCACGTCCATGTCCACGTCCAAGTCCTCCACGTCCACAACCACGTCCACGTCCACGTCCACGTAAACGTCCACGTTTACGTCCACGTCCACGTCCACGACCACGTCCACGTCCACGACCACAACCACGTCCACGTCCACGACCACGTCCACGTCCAGGTCCACATCCACGTCCACGACCAGGTCCACGTCCATGTCCACGACCACGTCCACGTCCACTCCACGACCACGTCCACGTCCACGTTCACGTCCATGTCCACGTCCATATCCACGTCCACGTCCATGTCCACGTCCATGTCCACGTCCATGTCCACGTCCACGTCCACGTCCACGTCCACGTCCAGGTCCACGTCCACGTCCACGTGCACGTCCATGTCCTCCATGTCCACGACCACATTCACGTCCATGTCCACGTCCATGTCCACGTCCTGGACGACCACGTCCATGTCCATGTCCATGTCCACGTCCACGTCCACGTCCACGTCCATGTCCACGTCCACGTCCACGTCCACGTCCATGTCCACGTCCATGTCCACGTCCACCTCCACGTCCACGTCCAAGTCCACGTCGTGGACGACCACGTCCATGTCCACGTCCACGTCCACGTCCAAGTCCACGTCCATGTCCACGTCCATGTCCACGTCCACGTCCACGTCCACGTCCACGTCCAGGTCCACGTCCACGTCCAGGTCCACGACCACGTCCACGTCCACGACCACGTCTACGTCCACGACCACGTCCACGTCCGCGTCCACGTCCGCGTCCGCGTCCACGTCCGCGTCCACGTCCGCGTCCCCGTCCGCGTCCGCGTCCGCGTCCACGTCCATGTCCGCGTCCACGACAACGTCCGCATCCATGTCCGCGTCCATGTCCGCGTCCATGTCCGCGTCCGCGTCCGCGTCCACGTCCACGTTCACGTCCACGTCCACGTCCACGTCCATGTCCACGTCCAAGTCCTCCACGTCTACGTCCACGTCCACGTCCATGTCCACGTCCACGTCCACGTCCACGTCCACGTCCACGTCCAAGTCCAGGTCCACGTCCACGTCCACGTCCACGTCCACGTCCAAGTCCTCCACGTCCATGTCCTCCACGTCCACATCCACGTCCAAGTCCTCCACGTCCATGTCCACGTCCACGTCCACGTCCACGTCCACGTCCACGTCCACGTCCACGTCCACGACCACGTCCACGTCCACGTCCACGTCCACGTCCACGTCCAAGTGCACGTCCATGTCCACGTCCACGTCCACGTCCACGTCCACGACCACGACCACGTCCACGTCCACGTCCACGTCCACGACCACGTCCACGTCCACGTCCACGACCACGTTCACGTCCACGACCACGTCCACGACCACGTCCACGACCACGTCCACGTCCACGTCCATGTCCACGTCCAAGTCCTCCACGTCCACGTCCACGTCCACGTCCACGACCACGTCAACGTCCACGTCCACGACCACGTCCACGTCCACGTCCACGTCCTCCACGTCCACGTCCACGTCCTCCACGTCCACGTCCTCCACGTCCACGTCAACGACCACGTCCACGTCCACGTCCACGACCATTACCACGTCCAGGTCCACGTCCACGTCCACGACCATGTCCACGTCCACGACCATGTCGACATCCATGTCCACGACCACGTACACGTCCACGTCCACGACCACGTCCACGTCCACGTCCACGTCCACGTCCACGTCTACGTCCATGTCCACGTCCATGTCCACGTCCATGTCCACGTCCACGTCCACGTCCACATCCAAGTCCACGTCGTGGACGACCACGTGTACGTCCACAACCACGTCCACGTCGTGGACAACCACGTTCATGTCCACGTCCACATCCACGTCCACGTCCACGTCCACGTCCTTGTCCACGTCCACGTCCACGTCCACGTCCAAGTCCACGTCCACGACCACGTCCACGTCCACGTTTACGTCCACGACCACGTCCACGTCCACGTTTACGTCCAAGACCACGTCCACGACCACGACCACGTCCACGTCCACGTCCATGTCTACGTCCACGTCTATGACCACGTCCACGTCTACGTCCACGTCCACGTCCACGTCCACGACCACGTCTACGTCCACGTCCACGTCCACGACCACGTCCACGTCCATGTCCATGTCCACGTCCAAGTCCTCCACGTCCACGACCACGTCCACGTCCAGTCGACGTAAACGTCCACGTCCACGTCCACGTCCACGACCACGTCCACGTCCACGTCCACGACCACGACCACGTCCACGTCCACGACCACGACCACGTCCAGGTCCACGTCCACGTCCACGACCACGTCCACGTCCAGGTCCACGTCCATGTCCACGACCACGTCCACGTCCACTCCACGACCACGTCCACGTCCACTCCACGACCACGTCCACGTCCAGGTCCACGTCCACGTCCACGTCCACGTCCACGTCCACGTCCACGTCCACGTCCACGTCCATGTCCTCCATGTCCACGACCACGTCCACGTCCATGTCCATGTCCACGTCCAAGTCCTCCACGTCCACGACCACGTCCACGTCCAGTCGACGTAAACGTCCACGTCCACGTCCACGTCCACGACCAAGTCCACGTCCACGTCCACGTCCACGACCACGTCCACGTCCACGACCACGACCACGTCCAGGTCCACGTCCACGTCCACGACCACGTCCACGTCCAGGTCCACGTCCATGTCCACGACCACGTCCACGTCCACTCCACGACCACGTCCACGTCCACGTCCACGTCCACGTCCACGTCCACGTCCACGTCCATGTCCTCCATGTCCACGACCACGTCCACGTCCATGTCCACGTCCATGTCCACGTCCTGGACGACCATGTCCATGTCCACGTCCATGTCCACGTCCACGTCCACGTCCACATCCACGTCCACGTCCATGTCCACGTCCATGTCCACGTCCACCTCCACGTCCGCGTCGAAGTCCACGTCGTGGACGACCACGTCCACGTCCACGACCACGTCCACGTCCACGTCCACGTCCGTGTCCACGTCCACGTCCACGTCCACGTCCACGACCACGTCCACGTCCACGACCACGTCCACGTCTTCGACCACGTCCACGTCCGCAACCACGTCCGCGTCCGCGTCCACGTCCGCATCCGCGACCACGTCCGCGTCCGCGTCCTCGTCCGCGTCCGCGTCCCCGTCCCCGTCCGCGTCCACGTCCGCGTCCGCGTCCGCGTCCGCGTCGACGTCCGCGTCCGTCCGCGTCCGCGTCCGGGTCTACGTCCGTGTCCACGTCCGCGTCCACGTCCACGACCACGTCCACGTCCACGACCACGTCCACGTCCACGACCACGTCCACGTCCGCGACCACGTCCACGTCCACGACCACGTCCACGTCCGCGACCACGTCCGCGTCCGCGACCACGTCCGCGTCCGCGACCACGTCCGCGTCCGCGACCACGTCCGCGTCCGCGACCACGTCCGCGTCCGCGACCACGTCCGCGTCCGCGACCACGTCCGCGTCCGCGACCACGTCCGCGTCCGCGTCCACGTCCGCGTCCGCGTCCACGTCCGCGTCCGCGTCCACGTCCGCGTCCGCGTCCACGTCCCCGTCCTCGTCCACGTCCACGCCCACGTCCACGTCCACGCCCACGTCCACGTCCACGTCCACGACCACGTCCACGTCCACGTCCACGTCCACGTCCACGACCACGTCCACGTCCACGTCCACGTCCACGACCACGTCCACGTCCACGTCCACGTCCACGTCCACGTCCACGTCCACGACCACGTCCACGTCCACGTCCACGTCCACGACCACGTCCATCCACGGTCCACGTCCATGTCCACGCCCACGTCCACGTCCACGTCCACGTCCACGCCCATGTCCACGCCCACGTCCACGTCCATGTCCACGTCCAAGTCCTCCACGTCCACAACCACGTCCACGTCCACGTCCACGTCAACGTCCACGTCCACGTCCACGACCACGTCCACGTCCACGTCCTCCACGTCCACGTCCACGTCCTCCACGTCCACGTCCTCCACGTCCACGTCCACGTCCACGTCCACGACCACGTCCACGTCCACGTCCACGACCACGACCACGTCCAGGTCCACGTCCACGACCAGGTCCACGTCCATGTCCACGACCACGTCCAAGTCCACTCCACGACCACGTCCACGTCCACGTCCACGTCCACGTCCACGTCCACGTCCACGTGCACGTCCACGTCCACGTCCACGTCCACGTCCACATCCACGTCCACGTCCATGTCCTCCACGTCCACGACCACGTCCACGTCCACGTCCACGTCTATGTCCACGTCCTGGACGTCCACGTCCATGTCCACGTCCATGTACACGTCCACGTCCACGTCCACGTCCACGTACACGTCCACCTCCACGTCCACGTCCAAGTCCACGTCATGGACGACCACGTCCACATCCACGACCACGTCCACGTCCAAGTCCACGTCCGTGTCCACGTCCACGTCCACGTCCACGACCACGTCCACGTCCACGACCACGTCCACGTCCACGACCACGTCCACGTCCACGTCCACGACCACGTCCACGTCCACGTCCACGACCACGTCCACGTCCACGTCCACGTCCACGACCACGTCCACGTCCACGTCCACGTCCACATCCACGACCACGTCCACGACCGCGTCCACGTCCACGACCGCGTCCACGTCCGCGTCCACGTCCGCGTCCACGTCCGCGTCCACGTCCGCGTCCACGTCCACGACCAGGACCACGTCCACGTCCACGACCACGACCAGGTCCACGTCCACGTCCACGTCCACGACGACGTCCACGACCACGACCACGTCCACGTCCACGTCCACGTCCACGTCCACGTCCACGACCACGTCCACGACCACGTCCACGTCCACGTCCACGTCCACGTCCAAGTCCACGTCCACGACCACGTCCACGTCCACGTCCACGACCACGTCCACGTCCACGTTCACGTCCACTTCCACGACCACGTCCACGTCCACATCCACGTCGACGTCCACGTCCACGTCCACGTCGACGTCCACGTCGACGTCCACGTCCACGACCACGTCCACGACCACGTCCACGTTTACGTCCACGACCACGTCCACGTCCACGTTTACGTCCACGTCCACGTCCACGTCCACGTCTACGTCCACGCCCACGTCCACGACCACGTCCACGTCCACGTCCACGTCCACGACCACGTCCACGTCCATGTCCATGTCCATGTCCAAGTCCTCCACGTCAACGACCACGTCCACGTCCACGTCCACGTCCTCGAGCACGTCCACGTCCACGTCCACGTCCACGTCCACGTCCACCTCCACGTCCACGTCCACGACCACGTCCACGTCCACGACCACGTCCACGACCACGTCCACGTCCATGTCCACGTTCATGTCCACGTCCACGACCACGTCCACGACCACGTCCACGTCCACGTCCACGTCCACGACCACGACCACGTCAACGTCCACGTCCACGTCCACGTCCACGTCCACGTCCACGTCCACGTCCACCTCCACGTCCACGACCACGTCCACGTCCACGTTTACGTCCACGTCCACGTCCACGTCCACGACCACGTCCACGTCCACGTTTATGTCCACGACCACGTCCACGTCCACGACCACGTCCACGACCACGTCCACGACCACGACCACGTCCATGTCCACGTCCACGACCACGTCCACGTCCATCCACGTCCAAGTCCTCCACGTCCACGACCACGTCCACGTCCACGTCCACGTCCTCGAGCACGTCCACGTCCACGTCCACGACCACGTCCACGTCCACGTCCACGTCCACGTCCACGTCCATGTCCACGTCCACGTCCACGTCCACGTCCATGTCCACGTCCAGGTCCATGTCCACGTCCACGACCACGTCCACGTCCACGTCCACGTCCAAGTCCACGTCATGGACGACCACGTCCACGTCCACGACCACGTCCACGACCACTTCCACGTCCACGTCCACGACCACGTCTACGTCCACGTCCACGTCCAAGTCCTGGTCCACGTCCGCGTCCCATCCACGACCACGTCCGCGTCCACGTCCACGTCCACATCCTCCACCACGTCCACGTCCACGTCCATGTCCTATCGTGGACGTGGACATGGACGTGGACGTCCTCCACACACGATAGGTTCAACGCACCGTGTGTTCAACCCACCGTGTGTTCAACCTACCGTGGATTGAACACACGGTGGGTTGAACACATGGTGGGTTGAACACACGGTGAGTTGAACACACGGTGGGTTGAACACACGGTGGGTCGAAAAGATGGTGGGTTGAAAAGACGGTGGGTTGAACACACGGTAGGTTTAACACACGGTGGGTTGAACAGACGGTAGGTTTAACACCATGTGTTCAACCCACCGTGTGTTCAACCCACCGTTTTTTAAATCCACTGTGTGTTGAACGCACTGTGTGTTCAACCCACCGTGTGTTGAACCCACCGTGTGTTCAACCCACCGTGTGTTCCACCCACCGTGTGATCAACCCACCGTGTCTTCAACCCACCGTGTGTTCAACCCACCGTGTGTTCCACCCACCGTGTGTTCAACGCACCGTGTGTTCAATCCACTGTGTGTTCAACCTACCGTGGATTGAACACACGGTGGCTTGAACACATGGTGGGTTGAACACACGATAGGTTGAACACACGGTGGGTTGAACACACGGTGGGTTGAACACACGGTGAGTTGAACACACGGTGGGTTCAACACACGGTGGGTTCAACACACGGTGGGTTCAACACACGGGGGTTGAAGCGACGGTGGGTTGAACACACGGTGGGTTGAACACACGGTGGGTTGAACACACGGTGGGTTGAACACATGGTGGGTTGAACACACGGTTGAATGAACACATGGTGGGTTGAAAAGACGGTGGGTTCAACAAACGGTGGGTTGAAAAGACGGTGGGTTGAACACACGGTGGGTTGAACACACGGTGGGTTGAACACACGGTGGTTTGAACACACGGTGGGTTGAACACACAGTGGGTGGAACACACGGTGAGTTGAACACACGGGGGTTGAACACACGGTGGGTTGAAAAGACGGTGGGTTGAACACACGGTGGGTTGAACACATGGTGGGTTGAACACACGGTGGGTTGAACACATGGTGGGTTGAACACACGGTGGGTTGAACACATGGTGGGTTGAACACACGGTGGGTTGAACACATGGTGGGTTGAACACACGGTTGGTTGAACACATGGTGGGTTGAACACACGGTTGAATGAACACACGGTGGGTTGAAAAGACGGTGGGTTCAACAAACGGTGGGTTGAAAAGACGGTGGGTTGAACACACGGTGGGTTGAACACACGGTGGGTTGAACACACGGTGGTTTGAACACACGGTGGGTTGAACACACGGTGGGTTGAAAAGACGGTGAGTTGAACACACGGGGGTTGAACACACGGTGGGTTGAACACACGGTGGGTTGAACACATGGTGGGTTGAATACACGGTGGGTTGAACAGACGGTGGGTTTAACACACGGTGGGTTGAACACACGATGGGTTGAACACACAGTGGGTGGAACACACGGTGGGTTGAACACACGGTGGGTTGAACACATGGTGGGTTCAAACCACGGTGTGTTCAACACACGGTGGTTGAACAGACGGTGGGTTGAACAGACGACGGTGGGTTGAACACACGGTGGGTTGATCACACGGTGGGTTGAACACATGGTGGGTTGAACCCACGGTGGGTTGAACACACGGTGGGTGGAACACACGGTGAGGTGAACACATAGTGGGCTTAACACATGGTGGGTTCAACACACGGTGGGTTCAACACACGGGGGTTGAACAGACGGTGGGTTGAACAGACGGTGGGTCGAACACACGGTGGGTTGAACACATGGTGGGTTGAACCCACGGTGGGTTGAACTCACGGTGGGTTGAACTCACGGTGGGTTGAACACACGGTGGGTGGAACACACGGTGAGTTCAACACACGTTATGTTGAACACACGGTGGGTTGAACACACGGTGGGTACAACACACGGTGGGTGGGTTGAACACACGGTGGGTTGAACACACGGTGGGTTGAACACACAGGGGGTTGAACACACGGTGGGTTGAACACACGGTGGGTTGAACACATGGTGGGTTGAACTCACGGTGGGTTGAACACATGGTGGGTTGAACACACGGTGGGTTGAACACACGGTGGGTTGAACACACGGTGGGTGGAACACACGGTGAGTTGAAGACACGGTGGGTTGAACAAACGGTGGGTTCAACACACGGTGGGTTCAACACACGGGGGTTGAACAGTCGGTGGGTTGAACAGATGATGGGTTGAACACACGGTGGGTTGAACACACGGTGGGTTGAACACATGGTGGGTTGAACCCACAGTGTGTTGAACTCACGGTGGGTTGAACACACGGTGGGTTGAACACACGGTGGGTGGAACACACGGTGAGTTCAACACACGTTATGTTGAACACACGGTGGGTTCAACACACGGTGGGTTCAACACACGGTGGGCTGAACACACGGTGGGTTGAACGCACGGTGGGTTGAACACACGGTGGGTACAACAGACGGTGGGTGGGTTGAACACACGGTGGGTTGAACACATGGTGGGTTGAACACATGGTGGGTTGAACACATGGTGGGTTGAAGACACGGGGGGTTGAACACACGGTGGGTTGAACACACGGTGGGTTGAACACACGGTGGGTTGAACACACGGTGGGTTGAACACACGGTGGGTTGAACACACGGTGGGTTGAACACACGGTGGGTGGAACACACGGTGAGTTGAACACACGGTGGGTTCAACACACTGTGGGTTCAACACACGGTGGGTTCAACACACGGGGGTTGAACACACGGTGGGTTGAACACACGGTGGGTTGACAACACAGTGGGTTGAACACACGGTGGGTTGAACACATGGTGGGTTGAACACACGATGGGTTGAACACACGGTGGTGTGAACACATGGTGGGTTCAACACACGGTGGGTTGAACAGACGGTGGGTTGAACACACGGTGGGTTGAACACACGGTGGGTCAACCACACTGTGGTTTGAACACACGGTGGGTTGAACACATGGTGGGTGGAACACACGGTGAGTCGAACACACAGTGGGTTGAACACACGGGGGGTTGAATATACGGTGGGTTCAACACACGGGGGTTGAACAGACGGTGGGTTGAACAGACAGTGGGTTGAACACACGGTGGGTTGAACACACGGTGGGTTGAACACATGGTGGGTTGAACACACGGTGGGTTGAACAGACGGTGGGTTTAATACACGGTGGGTTGAACACACGGTGGGTTGAACAAAAGGTGGGTGGAACACATGGTGGGTTGAACACACGGTGGGTTGAACACACCGTGGGTTCAACACACGGTGTGTTCAACACACGGTGGTTGAACAGACGGTGGGTTGAATTGACGGTGGGTTGAACACACGGTGGGTTGATCACACGATGGGTTGAACACATGGTGGGTTGAACCCACGGTGGGTTGAACACACGGTGGGTGGAACACACGGTGAGTTGAACACACGGTGGGTTGAACACATGGTGGGTTCAACACACGGTGGGTTCAACACACGGGGGTTGAACAGACGGTGGGTTGAACACACGGTTGGTCGAACACACGGTGGGTTGAACACACGGTGGGTTGAACACATGGTGGGTTGAACCCACGGTGGGTTGAACTCACGGTGGGTTGAACACACGGTGGGTTGAACACGCGGTGGGTGGAACACACGGTGAGTTCAACACACGTTATGTTGAACAGACGGTGGGTTGAACACACGGTGGGTTCAACACACGGTGGGCTGAATACACGGTGGGTTCAACACACGGTGGGTTGAACACACGGTGGGTACAACACACGGTGGGTGGGTTGAACACACGGTGGGTTGAACACACGGTGGATACAACACACGGTGGGTGGGTTGAACACATGGTGGGTTGAACACATGGTGGGTTGAACACACGGTGGGTTGAACACACGTTGGGTTGAACACACGGTGGGTTGAACACACGGTGGGTGGAATACACGCTAAGTTGAACACACGGGTGGTTGAACACACGGTGGGTTGAACAAACGGGGGGTTGAACACAATGTGGGTTGAACACACTGTGGGTTGAACACACGGTGGGTTCAACACATGGTGGGTTCAACACAAGGGGGTTGAACAGACGGTGGGCTGAACACACGGTGGGTTGAACACACGGTGGGTAGAACACACGGTGGGTTGAACACACGGTGGGTTGAACACACGGTTGGTTCAACACACGGTGGGTTCAACAGACGGTGGGTTGAACAGATGGTGGGTTGAACACATGGTGGGTTGAAAACACGGTGGGTAGAACACACGGTCGGCAGAACACACGGTGGGTTGAACACACGGTGGGTTGAACACAGGGTGGGTGGGGTGAACATACGATGGGCTGAACACACAGTGGGCTGAACACACGATGGGTGGGTTGAAGACGCGGCGGGTGGAACACAACGTGGGTGGAACACACGGTGGGTGGGTTGAACACACGGTGGGCTGAACAGATGGTGGGTTGAACACACGGTTGGTTGATTATACGGTGGGTTGAACACACGGTGGGTTGAACACACGGTTGGTTGAACACACGGTGGGTGGAACACACGGTGGGTTGAACACACGGGGGGTTGAACACACGGAGGATTGAATATACGGTGGGTTGAACGCATCGTGGGTTCAACACACGGTGGGTTCAACACACGGTGGGTTCAACACACGGTGGGTTCAACACACGGTGGGTTGAACAGACGGTGGGTGGGTTGAACACACTGTGGGTGGGTTGAACACACTGTGGGTTTTACACATGGTGGGTTGAACACACGGTGGGTTGAACAACACACGGTGGGTTGAACACAACGTGGGTTGAATA